GCAGGTCAAACAGACCCAGAAACAGGTCTAACATTTGAGGCATCAAATGTGTGTTGGTTAGTGGATGATCTGTAAAAATGAAGCTCCAGAGCACGTGCTTCATGATTTACCTTCATCACCACAGATCAGCTTCTTGACAATGCAAGGAATCTCCACGTAGCCAAAGCCCTTGAGTTTCTCCACTTGTTGGGCAGTGATGGGATGCTCCCACATGGCTGTGTTCATGGCCGGGCAGAAGAGGAGTGGCTTGCTCAGATCCCAGGCACGGATGACACAAGTCTGCCAAGAAGAATAAACCATTGGGAAGTCTCCTTGGCCATGCTGGGAGTAGGACTGGCTCATACTGGGAATAGGCTCTCTACCAAAAAGCCCCAATAAACTGGAAATACTGTGGCCATTGTTAATTGCCATTAAGTTGACTTCTATGGAGACTTCCAAGTCATCTTATCATCAACAGCTCTTGCTCAGGCCTTGCAAAAACAAGGCCATGGCTTTTTGATCGCGTATCTGTCCGAAATATTAAATATTAACTAGGTATTTTTTATTACAAAAATGTAACCTGGGCCCTGCCTCATGCACAATGGAGGACCTTCTTGCAGCAACACCGGAGGCACTCCAAGTGGCCAGCTACTGGTCAAAGGACATTTAATAGAATACCAAGTCTGCAAACTTCGTGTTTTGTTTGTTTGCTTGTTTGTTTTTAATGCAATACAACTGTTTTGGTCCGCTCCTGACATGATAAATAAATAAATTACAAAAATGTGAGTCAAGCACTGAAAGGGTTAAATGGTTGCAATGACTCAGCAAAAGATGCAGTTCAATATAAGCAGGTGTGCCTGTAGCTTAGTAGGCCTCAGTCTGTGAGAGGGCTCTGTGGGAGAAGGGCCTCAGTGGGAGAAGGCCTCCATAGGAGAAAGGCCTCAGTGTGAGGCAGGCCTCAGTGGGAGAAAGGTCTCAGTAGGAGAAAAGACTCAGTGTGAGACAGGCCTCAGTGTTCATAGGCCTCAGTGGGAGAAGGCCTCAGTGGAAGAAAGGCCTCAGTGGGAGAAAGGCCTCAGTGTTAGTAGGCCTCAGTAGTTAGTAGGCCTCAGTGGGAGAAAGGTCTCAGTGGCAGAAAAGCCTCAGTGTGAGGCAGGCCTCAGTGTTAGTAGGCCTTAGTGTGAGAAGGCCTCAGTGGGAGAAAGGCCTCAGTGGGAGGCAGGCCTCAGTGTTAGTAGGCCTCAGTGTGTGAAGGCCTGGTATGAGAAGCTTTAGTGAGAGACACCCCAGGTTGAAGGCCTCATGTGTAAAGCTACTGTGTGAAGCTTCAGTGTGAAGGCTGCTATGTGTAAAAAGCTATTGTGTAAACCTCCTATGTAACTTCAGTGTGAGAGGAGGCTCTGTGAGAGCGAAGTTGTTTATCTGCATGAGAAAGAAGCCCACTGTGGAAGCAAAGAAGGAAGTATAAAGAACATTATTCGTGTCATGGAAACCTTGTTCTTGTAAATAGTGCAACCATATTATTTTGCTCTAAAGAAAAGCCTCCTATGGAAGAGATAACATTGGTCTGTAAGTTTTTGTTCTTTTCATCACTTTTGGGCTACGGTTGCTGGGTGACGCTGCTGCTAATAAGTTACTCTGCTGTACATTGATGAGGAGGGTCTTTTGTTAATAAGCCCACTAGCCAAACAGTTCCTTTAAGTGACTATCTACCTATAAACAGTATCACCTATAAAGCAGTCTGCTTCTTATCCTTATTTTCTACCTTTCCAAGCATTTGTCTTTTCGAATATCTCATATCATGATATGTCCAAAGTAGGACAGTCTCAGCTGAATCATCTCGCCTTCTAGGAGAGTTCAGGCATAACCATAAAAGATCACTGTTATTTAGTATACAACAATTCCAAACTCTCCAAAGGAATTCTACTTTAATGCCAATTTAGGGAAATCTGAGTCTCACCTGAGCAAAAGGCTTTAGGGATAAAGCGGTGCAATCTAACAGGGAACATGTGATATCAAGTATAACAGACAGTAACTCACCAGGAGATTGTCGCAGAGGCCATTTGCCACTTTGGCCAAGGAGTTGGCATCCAAAGGTGCCACCAGCATCAGGTCAGCCCAGCGCCGGAGTTCGATATGGAGCACAGGGTCTGAGCGCCCCTTCCACAGCTGGGGAGAAAACAGCCCTAGTATTATTATTATTATTATTATTATTATTATTATTATTATTATTACTAGCCATCCCCTGCCGCGTGTTGTTGTGACCCTGTCTGTGTATATGTGTTTTGTGTGTGCATATATGTAGTTTTGCACATGCGCTGTAGTGTCTTTTTGCTTTTTTGGTTTTTGAAGTCTCTTCCACTGTGTTTTTCAGTGTTTTTATGAGTGATGGTCACTTGTTGGCCTGAGAGGTGTATTCTGTCCATTCGTCCAGTCATTTTTGAGTTATGTTATTCCCACAAACAAATATTAATTTTTTATTTATATAGATTAGCTGTTCCCTGCCACACGTTGCTGTGGCCCAGTATGTGTATATGTGTTTTGTGTGTGTATATATTTGTGTATATGTGTGTTTAAATATATGTTTGTGTGTGGCTTTGCGTGTGCATTGTAATGCAATTTTTGTTTTTTGGCTTTTTAAGTCCCATCTGTTGTGTTTTTCAGGGTTTTTATGAGTGATGGTCACTTGTTGGCCTGAGAGGTGTCTTGTGTCCAAATTTGGTGTCAATTCATCCAGTGGTTTTTGAGATATGTTAATCCCACAAACTAACATTACATTTTATTTATATAGATTAGCCGTCCCCTGCCACATGTTGCTGTGGCCCAGTCTGTGTATATGTGTTTTGTGTGTGTATATATTTGTGTATATGTGTGTTTGCGTATATATATATATGTGGTTTTGCACATGCGTTGTAATGTATTATTGGCTTTTGAAGCTTCTTCTGCTGTGTTTTTCAGTGTGTTTATGAGTGATGGTCACTCATTGGCCTGAGAGGTGTCTTATGTCCACATTTGGTGACAATTCATCCAGTGGTTTTTGAGTTATGTTCATTCCACAAACAAACATTACATTTTTATTTATATAGATCAGGGGTCCTCAAACTAAGGCCTGAGGGCCAGATACAGCGAGGGTAATTTATCCGGCCCTCGCTCAGGGTCAACCTAAGTCTGAAAAGTCTTGAAAGCACACAACAACAACAACAATTTTATCTCATTAGCCAGCAACAACAACAATCTTATCTCATTAGTCAACAACAATAACAATCTTATCTCATTAGCCAAAAGCAGGCCCACACTTCCCATTGAAATATTACTAAGTTTATATTTGTTAAAATTATTCTTCATTTTAATTATATTGTTTAAAGTGGGGTTTTGTTTTTTTTTTGCACTACTAATAAGATATGTGCAGTGTACCTAGGAATTCATTCATGTATTTTTCAAATTATAATCTGGCCCTCCAACAGTTTGAGGGACTGTGACCTGGCCCTCTGCTTAAAAAGTTTGAGGACCCCTGATATAGATTATTATTATTACTACCACTACTACTATTTGTATTTATACCCTACTTTTTCTCTGCCAAAGGAGACTCCAAGAGGCTAAGGTTTGGTGAGATGGCCACTGAAATGCACTACACCCACAGCACTCTCTTTGGAAAGAATGTAAGTCCAAGAGATGCTCCCACCCAAACCAGGAAAATGCAGCGTGGAAACTAGGCTAGTGCCATCCGAGTCATTGAAATGGGGAAAAAATGCAAATCAGAACATTGTGGTTCTTTCTCTGTACTTGAAAAGCTTAGTGGAGCTGAGCATCACTGACTCGCCATTCATCAGCGTCGCTGTAGAGGGTTGCGGGGATCTCTTCGGAATTGTAGAAATGCTTAGCATTTTCTGTTGTCACCACTTGCACTTCCAACTGGAAAAAGAAACCAGGAAAGAGGAAGAAGACCGGAAAGGAGTTATTTTAGGTTAGAAGCTGAACTGTGAGCTTATAATCCATTTCTAGACAGTTTAGCACAGTTGCTAAATCATCAGCACTTATAAGATCTATCAACCAAAAGGTTGCAAGTTTGAAGCCCCAGGCTGGCGTGAGCTGCCAACTGTCAGCCTAACTCATTGTTTACCTAAGCAATTCTGCTGTGTTTTTATGAGTGAAGGACATACATTGGGTTGTTAGGTGTATTGTGTCCAAATTTGGTGTCAATTCCCCAAGGGGTTTTTGAGTTCTGTTAATCCCACAAACGAACATTACATTTTTATTTATATAGATTTTATTTACCACACTTTTATCCCGCCCTTTTCAGCCTGAAGGCGACTCAGGGTGGCGTGCAGACTGGCAACAATTAGGTGCTGGACACACATAAATGCATCCTTTAAAACAGGTTAAATCACATAATAAAATTCATATAAAAACAATTAAAAACAATTAAAAACATCAATGACTTCTAGGTTTAAATATATATCCATATATGTCCAGGGTGGGAGAAAGAACTCTTGTCTGCTTGAGGCAAGTGTTATTGCTGCAACTGGCCACCTTGATTAGCACTGAATCGCCTTGCAGTTTCAAAGCCTGTCTGCTTCCTACCTGAGGGAATCCTTTGTTGGGAGGTGTTAGCAGAGGAATTCCTGACATGAAACAATCAGGGCCAGCCAACACCTCCCAACAATGGATTCCCCCAGGCAGGAAGCAACCAGGCTTTGAAGCTGTGAGACCGGGATTGTGGCGCAGCTGGCTGAGTGTCAGCTGCATTAAGATCACTCTGACCAAAAGGTCATGAGTTCGAAGCCAGCCCGGGCTGGAGTGGGTGTCCAGCCATTGTGTAGCCCGTTGTCGACCTTTGCAACCCGAAAGACAGTTGCATCTGTCAAGTAGGAAAATAAGGGACCACCTTGTGTGGGAGGCTAAATTTAACTAATTTATGGGGCCATAAAGAAAAAAGACTCCGGGGAATGCGGAAGAACTTCATCGGTGTCGTTGATGGACGATGAAAAGCAGCAGCTCCCCTGGCGGCCAGAAAAAAAAAAAGTTAAATAGCCTCGGTGTATTTGTGTGTTAAATGTTGTTTGTCAAACTGGCATTGAATGTTTGCCATATATGTGTTTACTGTAATCCGCCCTGAGTCCCCTGCGTGGTGAGAAGGGCGGAATATAAGAACTGTAAATAAATAAATAAATAATTATTGTATTAATTAATTAATAGTAATTAATAGTAACTCGGCTGCCCTGAATCCCCTTTTGGGGGAAGAAGGGCAGGATATAAATATAGGAAATAAATAATTATGGTGGCCAATTGCAACATTCACACTTGCCTCAAGCCGACGAGTGTTCTTTCTCCCAAATCTTGTAACAGGTGGCTACAACCAAGGGGTCCATCCTGCTCCTCCCAAGCAGTATCATTGAGGGTGTCTTGTGTGGTATCTAATTTGCTTTCCGTATAAATAAATTAAAAACCTTTTTCATCCACAACTATTGAGGCTTCTGAATAAAAAAAACTGTCTTGCATTTGGCAAGACAACAGTATTTCACACACCCCTAGTAAACAGCAGCAGTAGTAGTTTGGATGACTTGCAAACAAAATCAATAAAATATGACTGTAATTTTTACAATCATGCAAGGCTGGGGTGAAAATTGCTGGAAGAAACATTAACAAAATCCCATCTGTTACTCCAACTATCTGTGTAGCAAGTACTCACTCCAGGTATCTTCAGAAGCTCAGAGAGGAGAACAGGCAGCTTTAAGGCAGCCACGCTCCCAGTGACACCAACAAGGAGGTGGGCCTTTTTCTGTGTGGTCAAGGGCTGCGGGTCCGATTGTGGGATGGGATTCATCTCAGCCGCAAGAAGCATTCGCATTCGAGCTGCAAGCAAAGAGAGTGTGACTTAACAAAGACAGACATTCCCAAATTTAGGAGATCCTTCTTACTTACTTACTTACTTAGGCGATCCCTCATTGGCCGAGAACGATAGTCTTCCATGATCTGTATTCTTGTGGGTCCGTAGTTGGCTGTGGAGCCCTATTCTTGATCTGCATCTTCTCCCGCAGTGAGGGCATTGGTTTCCAGGTGGAAGGCGGTCTCAGTTGGGGTTGGCTTCACACGCCTTCCTCTTGGCATGTTTCTCTCTTTCGCCCTCCATTCGTCCCTCTTCAAATTCTGCAGCACTGCTGGTCACGGTTGACCTCTAGCTGGAGTGCTCAAGGGCCAGGGCTTCCCAGTTCTCAGTGTCTATGCCACAGTTTTTAAGGTTGGCTTTGAGCCCGTCTTTAAATCTCTTTTCCTGTCCTTCAACATTCCGTTTCCCGTTCTTGAGTTCAGAATAGAGAAACCGCTTTGGGAGATGGTGGTCGGGCATCCGGACAACGTGGCTAGTCCAGCGGAGTTGATGGCGGAGGACCATCGCTTCAATGCTGGTGGTCTTTGCTTCTTCTTCCAGCACGCTGACATTTTTCCGCCTCTTTTCCCAAGAGATTTGCAGGATTTTCTGGAGGCAGTGCTGATGGAATCGTTCCAGGAGTTGCATATGATGTCTGTAGACAGTCCATGTCTCGCAAGCATATAGCAGGGTTGGGAGGACAATAGCTTTATAATGATGGAATCATTCCAGGAGTTGCATATGATGTCTGTAGACAGTCCATGTCTCGCAAGCATATAGCAGGGTTGGGAGGACAATAGCTTTATAAATGAGCCCCTTGGTCTCCCTACGGATGTCCAGATCCTTAAACACTCTCTGCTTCATTCGGAAAAATGCTGCACTCGCAGAGCTCAGGCGAAGACCGAAAGACTCAACGGTGGAGCAGACGGAGGATTAAAATACAATAAATACACTAAAATGGCTTTTGAAACTCATATCCCCCTCTCTCCTGCGAATAATTTTAACTTACTCATTTTATTACCCATAGACTTTCTGCTTTGAAGGTTGTGACTTTTTGGTCTTAATGTTGACCTATATGTGTGTGTGTTTTTCTAATGTTCTAAAGTTTTACACTCAACAATATATTCCATTAATATAATTAGGAGAGTTGGAAGAGACCCCCAAAAGGCCATCCAGCCTGACCCCCTGCTAAGCAGGAAAACACAATCAAAGCCTTCCCGACAGATGGCCATCCAGGCTCTGCTTCACAATCTGTATCCAAGAAGCTCTTACCATCAAAGTGCATCTACTCCAGGCCTGGGCCAACTTGGGCCCTCCCTCCAGGTGTTTTGGACTCCAACTCCCACAATTCCTAACCGGCTGTTAGGAATTGTGGGAGTTGGAGTCCAAAACACCTGGAGGGAGGGCCCAAGTTGGCCCAGGCCTGGTCTACATTGTAGAATTAACGTGGTTTGACCCCACTTTGACTGCTATGGGATTCTGGGAGTTGTAGTTGGGTGAGGCTCCAGCCCTCTTGGGCAGAAAAGGCACAAGACCTTAGAAAACTACAAATCCCAGGACTGTAGCAGTTTAAAGCGCTGCCCTGCTTCATCCACAACCAACTGTTACTATTTATGTATTCCTTTAATTACCAGAAACGACATCAATCCGGTCCTTGCAATTCACCTGCAAAAAGCAAAGCGCGCCGCACCGGACACTATTGAAACACGGACCTTCCGGTTCCCATCTTCCATAAGCGAGCGTGGTGACCATAGAGTAGAGCTAGACCAACTTCCGCTGTAATGAAGAGGCCGAGAATGGTATATTATGTTTATTGATCGCCAGTGCTTTTGCGCCCCCAGTGGACACCTCGAAAATTGCACCCCTCGATCTTCGGCCTTTTGCCCCATTCTTTGCTGCTCCAATATAAGGCCCTTTGCTGCCATCCAGTGGTCACATTGGGAAACTGCACGTTTTAAATTTTTATTTTACAGCTGAGCAATAGAAGGCTTTGACTGTGTGGATCATAATAAATTGTGGCAAGTTCTTGGTGGAATGGGCATACCCAATCCCTTTGTCTCTCTCCTGAGGAATCTGTATAAGGACCAAGTAGCAACAGGAAGAACTGACCACGGAACAACAGACTGGTTCAAGATTGGGAAAGGCATACGGCAGGGTTGTATCCTCTCACTCAACCTATTCAACTTGTATGCAGAACACATCATGCGGTGTGCGGGGCTTGACGAATGCAAGGCTGGGGTGGAAATTGCTGGAAGAAACATTAACAACCTTAGATATGCAGATGACACCACTTTGATGGCCGAAAGCGAGGAGGAGCTGAGGAGCCTTCTAACCAAGGTGAAAGAAGAAAGCGCAAAAGCTGGGCTGCAGCTAAAAATCAAACAAACCAAAATTATGGCAACAAGAATGATTGACAACTGGAAAATAGAGGGAGAAAACGTGGAGGCTGTGTCAGAATTTGTATTTCTAGGTGCAAAGATGAGTGCAGACGCAGACTGGGGCCAGGAAATCAGGAGACACTTCCTTCTTGGGAGGAGAGCAATGTCCAATCTCAATAACATAGTGAAGAGTAGAGACATCATACTGGCAACGAAGGTCCACATAGTTGAAGCAATGGTATTCCCCGTAGTAACCTATGGATGTGAGAGCTGGACCATAAGGAAGGCTGAGCAATGTCCAATCTCATTAACATAGTGAAGAGTAGAGACATCACACTGGCAATGAAGATCCGCATAGTCAAAGCAATGGTATTCCCCATAGTCACCCACGGATGTGAGAGCTGGACCAGAAGGAAGGCTGAGCGAAGGAAGAGAGATGCTTCAGTGTTGGAGGAAAGTGCTGAGAGTGCCTTGGACCGCGAGAAGATCCAACCAGTCCATCCTCCAGGAAAGAAAGCCCAGCTGCTCATTGGAGGGAAGGATAGTAGAGGCCAAGATGAAGTCCTTTGGCCACATCATGAGAAGACAGGAAAGCTTGGAGAAGACAACGATGCTGGGGAAAATGGAAGGAAAAAAGAAGAGAGGCCAGCCAAGGGCAAGGAGGATGGATGGCATCCTTGAAGTGACTGGCTTGACCTTGAAGGAGCTGATGGTGACGGCCGACAGGGAGCTCTGGCGTGGACTGGGCCAGCAGGTCACTTAAGAGTCGGACTGAACGAATGAACAAAACAATAGAAGGTTCTGGCTCAGCCGTAGTTTTCTTTGGCTGGATCTACATCACTATATAATCCAGATTATATATTGAACTGGATTATATGAGTCTACACTGCCATACATTCCATTTCAAAGCAGATAATCTGGAGTTTATATATAGCAGTGTATACAAGGAATATGCTTCTTTGGGGAGAGAGCCAAGAAGGAAAGAATGTTGGGCTTCATCACTGGACTGCACAAGTTATTATGCCATCACATTTCTAGTCCTCAATGAGTGCCTAGACTTGTCAGGAGTCAATTTCTGAGGGCATGAAGACATCACAAATTCCATCCATGACATCCTGACTGAATCATCCTGGCTGAATCAATTCTCTCTCTGTGACATTTTGAAGCCAGCAGAGGGCGCTGGAAACCTTGTATTGGAACTTGTGAAGCAACAAATTCTAATAAGGAAACTGAGAAGAGGGGGGAGTTGGGCAGGAAAGGGGTATAAAAGGAAGTGGTGGTGGGAAAAAAGTCAGTAGTGTCTTTCTTTGCTGAAGAGATACAAGCAATATATCAATTTCAAAGCAAAACCGGCTTGTGAGTGGTCATTTAATTTTGCTATATAGAGCCTACAGTCTGACAAGACTAGAGAAAGGGCTAAGCTCCTGGATTCCTTCCCCCATATTCCTACGCATGTCTTTTTGTCCCTAAAAGGCTTTGTCTTTTGCCTTTATTTCTAGCCACCATCTCCTCCCCCTTTCACGATGTAGTAATAGAATCCTGTGAGGGAACTTCCTCTTAAATTTAAATTGCCCTGGGAAGACTATGCAGTTTCCACTACGTTCATTCTGCTTTTTTGCCTGCAGAGGACGCATTTTGCCTCCTGCAGGTAAAATGTAGCTGCATTGACTTTTTTTAACAGTTTTACCTTCTTTAGAAGAAAAGATTTAGTAAGCTAGTTGACAGGTTGCTCCAAAAGCCATGTTGGGACTTCGGAAATCAGGGTCTCATTCTCTGAAAAATGCTTGCCCTTCAAAAATAACTTCATTTTTGGAAAGAGGTGGACGTCCGATGCTGCGAGGTTGGGGGAATAAGGTGGATGTGGTCAAATTCCAGCACCACAGGAACATGCGTCTTCCATTTGGGCAACAGGTGAGTTGTGAACAGGTGCATTGACTTACAGAAGGCAGGTGGACACCTTTGGGGAGCATGCCACATTGTCTCTTGGTCTGGATAGCCTCCCGCAATTTCTGCAGCAGTGAAGCACAGTATACGCTAGTGATCCTGGTCCCCTTTGCAATGAAATCCATCAATCCGATTCCATGCTGGTCCGAAAATACTGTGAGCATGACCTTGCCTGCCGAGAGTTGGGCACGTGCCTTCTTTGGAGGCTTTGAGTCATGGGGCTTCCATTGCATCAACTGGACTTGAGTCTCAGGATCAGAGGGATGGACCCAGATTTTCTCCTGTGTGATCAGTCTGTTCACCTACAAAGAGCATTCTGAACTCCACCACATATGGCTAAATGTGAACACTGGTGGAGTTTGGGGAAAATAGACCTTGACATTTGGGAGTTGTTGCTGGGATTTATAGTTCACCTACAAAGAGCATTCTGAACCCCACCAATAATGGAATTGAACCAAACTTGGCAAACAGAACTCCAATGACCAACAGAAAATACTGGAAGGGTTTGGTGGGCATTGACCTTGAGTTTGGGACTTGTAGTTCACCTACATCCAGAGAGCACTGTGGACTCAAACAAGGGTGGGTCTGGACCAAACTTGGCACGAATATGCAATATGCCCAAATGTGAATACTGGTGGAGTTTGGGGAAAATAGACCTTGACATTTGGGAGTTGTAGTTGCTGGGATTTATAGTTCACTACAATCAAAGAGCATTCTGAACCCCACCAACGATGGAATTGAACCAAACTTGACACACAGAACTGCCATGACCAACAGAAAATAGAAAGGTTTGGTGGGCATTGACCTTGACTTTCGGAGTTGCAGTTCATCTACATTCCAGAGAGCCTTGTGGACTCAAACAGTGATGGATCTGGACCAAACTTGGCATGAATACTCAATATGCCCAAATGTGAACACTGGTGGAGTTTGGGGAAAATAGACCTTGACATTTGGGAGTTGTAGTTGCTGGGATTTATAGTTCACCTACAATCAAAGAGCATTCTGAACCCCAACAATGAGAATTGGGCCAAATTTCCCACACAGAACCCCCATGACCAACAGAAAATGCTGTGTTTTCTGACGGTCTTTGGCGACCCCTCTGACACCCCCTCGCGACCCTTCCAGGTTGAGAAACGTTGGTTTAGGTTCCGCTGAAGAAGTGTATCCTCTTACCTTATTGATTAGGAAAGCCGCCATCGTTGTCATTTTTAACTGTTCGGGTTTTTTTATCTATCCCTTTACTTATATTGACAAGACACACTATGCAGAATAAATATTGGAAAGGAGGCCACACTTTCAATATAATTTGCTTTATTCGTTCATCTCCAGGTTGACACTGTTTCGTCAGGGACAGACACGGAATGATCATCACAAGTGGTCCCAATATTTAAAAATTCCCCGTCTTCCCCCCATTGGTTAATATATAACTCGTTCCCTTTTTTCTGTTGTGAACTAGATGTGATGACAAGATTACTTATGGCACCAGGGCTATTTTGGGAGTCGGTGAAAATAAATGTACAGAGAGACTGCCAGCATCCTTTTCTCCACGGGATTGCTATCCTACTCTATGTAGTTTTATTGTATTGTATTGTGTTGTATTATTTATGTTGTGAGCTGCCCCGGGTCCTTTTGTGAGATGGGAAAGATATAAATAAAGTTTATTATTGTTGTTGCTTGTGTAGTCGAAGGCTAAGGTTGCCTTTGACTATACAAGGCAACCTTAGCCTTATGTAGTCAAAGGCCTCCTTGATTATTTATTTGTTTATTATTTACGACATTTGTATGGCCATGTTCCAGAAGCATTCTCTCCTGACGTTTTGCCCCCATCTATAGCAGGCATCCTAAGAGATTGAGGGGTTTGCTGGAAACCAAGCAAGTGAGGTTTGAGTAGACAATGTCAACAGAAAGGTGGAAACCATGAAAATGAACAAAATCTGGCTACCAGTATTTTAAAAAAATCTAAAATCAGGACAGTAAATAAAGAGCAACACTCAAAAAATAAGGGAACTCCAGGCAAGAATCAATCAGGGCCAGCTAACACCTCCCAACAAAGGATTCCCCCCAGGCAGGAAGCAGCCAGGCTTTGAAGCTGCAAGGCCACTCAAGGAGTCCAGTTGCAACATTCAGACATGCCTCAAGCGGACAAGAGTTCTTTCTCCCACCTTGGACATTATTTCATAGATATATAAACCCTTTGGTTGTAGCCACCTGGGAAAAAGAATGCTTGTCTGCTTGAGGCAAGTGTGAATGTTGCAATTGGCCCCCATGATTAGCACTGAATGGCCTTGCAGCTTCAAAGCCTGGCTGCTTCCTGCCTGGGGGAATCCTTTATTGGGAGGTGTTAGTTGGTCCTGATTGTTTCATGCCTGGAATTCCTCTGCTAACAACTCCCAACAAAGGATTCCCTCAGGCAGGAAGCAGCCAGGCTTTGAAGTTGCAAGGCTAATCCTTTGTTGGGGGGAGAAGGGCAGGGTGAAAGTGTATGAAATAAAAAATAATAATCAAGGTGGCCAATTGCAACATCCACACCTACCTCCAACAGACAAGACTTCTTTCTCCCACCCTGGACATTATTCCACAGATATATAAACACTTGCCTAGTTTCCAACATACCTCACAACGTCTGAGGATGCCAGCTATAGATGTGAGCAAAAGGTCAGGAGAGAATGTTTCTGGAACATGGCCAGATGGCCTGAAAAATGCACAGCAACTCATTGTTGTCATTTTCCAGAACAAGGGCACTGCCAATATTTTCTTTCCATTTCCCAAAGTCCTAGCATTGCAGTTAATATTGGGGGGTGCATCCACACTGTAGAATTAATGTGGTTTGACAACGCTTTAGCAGCTGTGTCCCAATGCTATGGAATCCTGGTGCCTCATTCAACTGCAACTGCTGGGATCCCAGAGACATGAGAGTTAGAGCGCTATGAAGTCGCATTATTTGTACAGTGTAGATGTACAACAAGGAGTCTACACCAGGCATGGGCAAAACTTTGGCTCTCCAGGTGTTTTGGACTCCAACTCCCACCATTCCTAACAGCCTCAGGCCCCTTCCTTTTCCCGCTCAGCCGCTTAAGCGGCTGAGCGGGAAAAGGAAAGGGCCTGAGGCTGTTAGGAATGGTGGGAGTTGGAGTCCAAAACACCTGGAGAGCCAAAGTTTGCCCATGCCTGAGCTAGCCTTTGCACACAGTAGGAAGTAAAGTCCTGTCTTGAAACACCCTGTTTTGTCATATTTGTTGCCATAACACTGTATATTTCTGACTCAATGGCTCCACTTTGAACGTCAATGGACTAAACGTTCGTCACAAGCGTAGAAGCGTCTCCAACTCATTCCATCTGCTCCAAACAATGAGGCAGATGCCTCTAGATTTGGCTGGAATGCACAGGGAGGTGGGAGTACCTCTGAAATGGATGCTGAAAATAGAATTTCAAAGGCCTTGAAGCTTCCTCCTCCCTTAAAATAAATTCATGGAATTGACAAAATGGCATTCAATCCAATGTTCTAGGTGTCATGCATTAAAAGTGGTTGCACTGCAACACAGGAGACAAAAAGAAGGTTTTGTCAAAGGCTTTCATGGCCGGAATCACTGGGTTGTTGTAGGTTTTTCCGGGCTATATGGCCATGTTCTGGAAGCAATTTTTCTCCTGACGTTTCGCCTGCATCTATGGCAAGCATCATCAGAGCATCCTGTTGTTTTGCTGTTGTGATTTTTGAGTTTTTTAATACTGGTAGCCAGATTTTGTTCATTTTCATGGTTTCTTCCTTTCTGTTGAAATTGTCCACATGCTTGTGGATTTCAATGGCAACAGCAAAACAACAGAGGGGAAACAAACAGGCACATAAATCACTCTCAACAAAAGATTCCCCCCAGGCGCTTCCAAGCCATTGAATGCGAATCAAGGTGATCAGCTGAAACATTCACACCTAGCCCCAGCAGACAAAAGTCCTTTGTCACCCTGGTCATTCCACAGATATATAAACCCATTTTTCCTACTTCCAACAGACCTCACTACCTCTGAGGATGCTTGTCATAGATGCAGGCGAAACGTCAGGAGAAAAATTGCCTCCAGAACATGGCCATATAGCCTGGAAAAACCTACAACAACCCAAAAAGAAGGTTGTTTTTGTTGTGTGTCTTGGACCCCTTCTACCCTGCCATATACATAAAACCCAGTTTCTCTGATTTGAACTGGATTATCTGGCAGTGTAGACTCATATAATCCAGTTCAAAGCAGATCAAGTAGATTACCTGATTTTTTTTTTCTGTGTCATGAGTGAGAAACTGCAAGTCGCTTCTGGTGTGAGAAAATTGGCCGTCTACAAGGACGTTGCCCGGATAGTTTTTACCATCCTGTGGGAGACTTCTCTCATGCCCCCACGTGAGAAGCTGGAGCTGACAGATGGGAGCTCACCCCGCCACCCAGATTCGAATTGCTGACTTTTCGGTCAGCAGTCCTGCTGGCACAAGGGTCTAACCCATTGCACCACCGGGGACTCCTGACCTGTTTTGATAATCTGGATTATACGGCAGTGTAGAAGGGGCCTTAGATTTGCTATTTGGAAGTGCATCCTAAGGTCAGTGTAGATCCATATAATCCAGTTCAAAGCAATGTGGATTACCTGCTTTGATTTTTTTTTTCTGTGTCAGGAGCGAGAAACCGCAAGTCACTTCCGGTGTGAGAAAATTGGCCGTCTACAAGGACGTTGCCCAGGGGACACCTGGATGGTTTTTGCCATCTTCTGGTAGGCTTCCCTCATGTCCCTGCATGAGAAGCTGGAGCTGATGGATGGGAGCTCACCCTGCTCCCCGGATTCCAACTGTCCTGCTGGCACAAGGGTTTAACCCATTGTGCCACCGGGGGCTCCTGACCTGCTTTGATAATCTGGATTATATAGCAGTGTAGAAGGGGCCTTAGATTTGCAATTTGGAAGTGTATCCTATGTTCAGTGTAGATCCATATAATACAGTTCAATGCAGGCCAACTGCAGCCGCATCTACACTGTAATAAAATGAAGGAATTTCATTACAGAGATGCCTATATGTCAATAAATGGAGGATATACACATTCACACAATTATTCTTCTGGAGACAAAAACAGTGATATAGCTTTGGAGAAAGCCATGAAAGATGAAAGCTTAAACAGCTGAGGGGGAAAAGGAAGGGCCTAAGGCTGCTAGGAATTGTGGGAGTTGGAGTCCAATGCACCTGGAGGGCTGAAATGTGCCCATGCCTGTTGTACATCAATGCAGTTTGATATCATTTTAGCAGCCACGGCTCAATGCTATGGAATCTTGGGAGGTGTAGGCTTATACAAGGGTTGAATGAAAAGTAATGCCTCCACCTTTATTACTTGGGTTTGGATGGGAATATTTAAATAAATCAAACTCAGAAATAATCCTGAGAATGTGCTCTTTAACCATCATTATTCACTTTTCCACATAATCACCAGACAATTCGATACATTTCTGCCAATGATGAACAAGTTTTCTGGAGCTGTCACAGAAGAAGTCAACACTCTGTTTCCGCAACCAGCATCTCACAGTTCTTTCATCCTGGGTCCCCATCGTGCACAGATCTTCTGATAGCAAAGCAATAATGCGACCCAAACGTCCTTGTGAAATGCCAATTATGCTTGAAATTTCTCTCTGAGTGATATGACAATCATTCTGAATCAATCTGTCAAGCTTTTGCTTGTGAAACTCGGTGGTTGTCACAGGATATCCAACACTTTGTTTGTCATACAAGTCAGATGTTCCCACCTCAACATCTTTAAACTGACTCACCCAATGACGCACAGTACTCACATCAACACAATCACCATAAACAGCTTGCATTCTCTGATGAATCTTCTTTGGGGTCACACCTTCTCCTGTCAAGAATTCAATGACTGCATGTTGCTTAAGTCGCATTGACCAACTGTCTGCGCAGGGTTCCATACTTTGCACTTTAACAACACAACCGTTCAATGCTAAGGCTTCTGGCCAAAATGGAACTGTAGAGGAGTCTACTGAACAAGCCAGTACCTGCCGCATTCCAGTACTGCCATCTGTTGAGGAGTTACGAAGGTGGAGGCATTACTTTTTCTGCTAAGGCTTCCCACCAAAATGGAACTGTAGAGGAGAGTCTACTGAACAAGCCAGTACCTGCCACATACCAGTACTGCCATCTGTTGAGGAGTTGCGAAGGTGGAGGCATTACTTTTTCTGCTAAGGCTTCCCGCCAAAATGGAACTGTAGAGGAGAGTCTACTGAACAAGCCAGTACCTGCCACATACCAGTACTGCCATCTTGTCGAGAAGTTATGAAGGTGGAGGCATTACTTTTCATTCAACCCTAGTAAGATCAAAGAGTGCTGATGCCTCACCACATGACAGGTCCCACAATTCCCCAGGATGAATTCTGGGTCATTGAAGTGGAATCAAACTGCATGGAGTCTACAGTGTAGGCGCAATCTATATGTTTTGGAGGAGAGAAATGCTTTGGAATGGGATGAAATTCTCTTTAGGGATGGAGAGCTATTTGAAGCCACTTTTTGGGCATTGCTTGGGCATTGCCGTGTTCTAAGCTCCTAAATGTTGCTTTCTGAAATGGATTATAATTTATCACACTAAAAATGAGAAAAATGGGAAGCAGAGCCCATTGGCATGGAATGAGAGAGCCAAAGTGCTCGAATGTTGGCAATACCGTGTACAGTCATAGAGTAATAGAATCAGTGGAAATAATAAGGACAGAATGAGCCAGCTGATGTCTTTGCAAACAGTCGCTACCACGAACGACCATTTGCCACGAAATCCATTGACTACCCAGACCTTTGGGCCACTCTGAGAGTGTCAACATTGGTGCCCGCCTGCACCACCCGAGAGTACTATAAACACCAGCTATCACCACAGTAAATTTAAGAGGAAAAAGAAACCCCACCACTGTACACTATTTCACAAAAGAGAAAATGTAGCACACACAGACAGTCACCACGGCACAACACAACTGTCTCGCGACTTCTTCAAAGAGATTATCTCCGTGGACGATATTATTGAGGGACAAAGTCGAGGGCAAAGGGAATCAAGAGGAGACTCTGACGCACCTCCTGGCTATCAAGAGAGTTATGATACAGACCCATCCCTCCTGTACAGTAGAACATCCCCCCACCCCGTATCCCACGTTCACGGAAACATACGTCCGGACATACGCACAAACACACATACACACACACGCTCCCGTCCCAGCTCTTCCTGCCCACCTCCGGCCACAAACCCATCGGGCTCCCCATCTCCCCGGGATCTTTCTCGTCAGGATCGCCTCTCACATGTCGTTGGGGTAGTTATAGTTAGGAGTGGCCGAGTACTGTGTTTCGTGCTGCATCATGCCACCCTGGACGGCCCCCACGGCCGCGTTTTGGGCCGCTTGCTGGACGTGCGGATTCTTCCAGGCACCCGTTGTCCACTCCTCTTGCGCTTTGCTGAAGCTCCCACCACTTCCCCGGTAAAACTTATGCACCTGTGTTGAGAGGAAGCAGAAGGATAGACATGCAGGATGCCTACATTCACATTGCAATCCAGGATGGCTTTGGATGAGCCAGAAAAGAAACTATTCATGCATGTTATTAAATATATGGTGTATAAAACTGTACTTATATAAATGCATTTTGTGTTTTAGACTCAGGGAACCCCTCTTCACATGATCCCATTAGGTATATACAAATATTAGGAAATCCAGTAGAATCTGAAATAGGGTTCCAGGTATTTCAAATTAAGGATGTGGCCTCAACTTCCCCTGAAAACCTTTCTCATGCACTTACCATACTGAGAGCAATGAAGGAGAAGACGGACATTGCCGTGAAGAGGACGGTGGGGATGAGCATCACAACAGCCGAGCCCACGTTGGTGCCAAGGAAGGATATGGCTGCGATCCAGCCACTGAAGAGGAACCAGAAGGAGGGACAAGAGGGACTTTGAGGCATGTCAGATCTCTCAGAAGCATTCATTGTATCAGAATTTGCAGTCCAGGTAAGCTGTCAGGTTGGCTGGGTATGGCGCCTCATCAAAAATGAGCTCAGATGGACATACTGACCATGGCTGGATCTACACTGCTTTATAATGCAGAATAGACCCATATAATGCAGATCAAACTGTATTATATGGGTCTACATTGACCATTGGGGGCCGCGATTGGTGAAATGGGCCAAAACCGTGTGCTGCTGAACTGCTGACTGGAAGGTTGACAGTTCAAAGCCACGGGTCAGGATGAGCTCCTGCTGTTAGCTCTAGCTCCTGCCAACCTAACAGTTCAAAAACTTGCAAATGTGAGTAGATCAATAGGTGAAGGCACCCATGCAGCCATGCCGGCAAACATAACCAGGAGGTGTCTATGAACAACAGGCTTGGAAATGGAACAAGAGCACCTCCCCATGGCCGGAGTGGAGCACTGACTCCAGAAGCCGGACATGAAAGGGGAAGCCTTTACCTTTCTTCTGTGTATTTGTGTGTCATTGTTGTATTAAAGACATTGAATGTTTGCCTGCCTGTGTATGTTGTAATCCGCTTTGAGTCCCCTTGGGGAGATAGAGTACAATATAAATAAAGTGTTGTTGTTGTGGTTGTATTATTATTATTATTATTATTATTATTATTAAAGAATACAGTTCCAAACTCTATCCAATAGGCCTGGGTAACAACGGAAAAATTTGTTTCTAAAATCGATTCGTTTTTGGGGGGTTTTTGCGTTTTGATATTTAAAAGAATTCCGAAATTTTTCTTTTAAAAAGTTCGATATTTACGAAATTTCGTAAATGTTAAAAAAAAATTACGAAACATTAACGAAACAAATACGAAACAATAACGAATCGATTCGTTAATGGCGGACGCGACCGCGCAATACGCTAAAAAACCTCCAAATGGGACAGGGGGAACTTCTGAAGCTTCCCTCTCCCTCTGTTGTTGACTGTTGGTGTGATATTATATTTTTTTTCACTAATTAAACAAAAAACAACTATAAAACTTGCCCCAGACATGCGGAAATAATAACAAAACGACCTCAAACCGATAACGAAACGAATACATAACGAATCCGAAGCATTTACGAAACGAATTTAAAAATTCGTTTCGTATTTAAGTTGCTCCAGAATGGTTCGTTATCGCTTCGTTATAAAAAAAAACGAATTTTTAACGAATTACAAATTAACGAAACGAAACCACCCAGCTCTACTATCCAACTTTAAGAAAGTTTAGGACTTGCTCATTAACTTTTCACAGCAAAGCATTTGTTAACAGCAGAATTCATTACTCACCAAAAGTATGACTATATAACATCATTTAAATGGAGTAAACAAATAAGGGATTAAAAAAAAATCAGATAGAGGGAGGAAGTCTGTCAATTTGCTTATTGTTTGTTTGTTTCTCTGTTTCATTTTTCTCCCTATTATGTTATTTTGTAATACCTGTAGGAGTAGATACTATCTAGTTGTGTAGTTTTTAGTTGTATATATCTAAATAAGTGCTTGTGTGTTTAGTTTCTTTTCTTCTCGACGAAAAATGACTGAAAATGAACTAGTCCTATGGATGCTTACCAGACTCCCCAGCCAGGGATGCCGACGGCCTGGATGATGCTGATCACGAGCTGGGCCATGAAAGTGAAGAAAAACGCCATGAAACTGAAGGAACTGTCTGTCCTATAAAGGAAAAATAAAATGAATATTAATAACAACCGAATCCAAACGACAAACTATGGCTGTCCACAGCTTAATTATAGATTTTTAATTGATAAATTGATAAATCAAATCATACAATTCACCATTCTGGACACAAGGTGTCAGGAAAGGTATAACAAATGCATATACAACGACTCCACTAAGGCTGAAGAATTCACTAATTGAAAGACCACTGTGAAGTTATTGTATGAATTACAATGGAGTTTTTACAGGGACCAATACTTATTTTTCTTTCTTTCTAATTAATAGCTATTTTACTTTCTTTCTTTCTAATTATTACAAGGAAACTGTCACCTTTTATCATTAACAAACAATTATATGAGGGTTGAATGAAAAGTAATGCTTCCACCTTCGTTACTTGGGTTTGGATGGGAATATTTTAATAATTCAAATGCAGAAATAATCCTGAGAATGTGCTCTTTAACTTCCACTATTAACTGTTCCACATAATCACCAGACAATTTGATACATTTCTGCCAACGATGAACAAGTTTTCTGAAGCCATCACAGGAGAAGTTGACACTCTGTTTCCACAACCAGCATCTCACAGTTCTCTCAACCACTATTCATTTTTCCAAATAATCACCAGACAATTGGATACATTTCTGCCAACAATGAACAACCACTATTCACTTTTCGACATAACCACATGACAATTGGATACATTCCTGCCAATGATGAACAAGTTTTCTGAAGCCATCACGGAAAAAGTCGACACTCTGTTTCCGCAACCAGCGTCTCACGGTTCTCTCAACCATTATTCATTTTTCCACATAATCACCAGACAATTGGATACATTTCTGCCAACAATGAACAACCACTATTCACTTTTCGACATAATCACTAGACAATTGGATACATTTCTGCCAACAATGAACAAGTTTTTTGAAGCCATCATGGAAGAAGTTGACACTCTGTTTCTGCAACCAGAGTCTCACAGTTCTCTCAACATCTTCATCAGAAGCATCATTATCTTCTTTTATTATCGGGATCAGGTGGAAGTCAGATGGTGCTAAATCTGGAGTGTATGGAGGATGCCGTACGGTGGTGAGATCCAGTCTCTGAAGTTTCAAGTCTGTGTGCTTTCATTTCAGGCGTCAGGATCCTGGGTACCCATCGTGCACAGATCTTCCAATAGCCAAGCAAAGCAATAATGTGACCCACACGTTCTTGTGAAATGCTGATTATGCTTAACATTTCTCTCTGAGTGATACGATGATCGTCCTGAATCAATCTGTCAACATTTTGCTTGTGAAACTCGGTGGTTGCTGTCACAGGATGTCCAACTCTTTGTCACGCAAGTCAGATGTTCCCACCTCAACATCTTTAAACTTACTCGCCCAATGACGCACAGTCCTCACATCAACACAATCCCCATAAACAGCTTGCGTTCTCTGATGAATCACCTTTGGGGTGACATCTTCTGCTGTCCAGAATTCAATGACTGCACATTGCTTAAGTTGCATTGACCGACCATCTGCACAGGGTCCCATACTTTGCACTTTAACAACACAACTGTCCAATGCTAAGGCTTCCGGCCAAAATGGAGGAGAGTCTTCTGAACAAGCCAGTACCTGCTGCATACCAGTACTGCCATCGGTTGAGGAGTTACGAAGGTAGAGGCATTACTTTTTCTGCTAAGGCTTCCTGCCAAAATGGAACTGTATTGGAGAGTCTTCTGAACAAGCCAGTAATTGCGGCATACCAGTACTGCCATCGATTGAGGAGTTACGAAGGTAGAGGCATTACTTTTTCTGCTAAGGCTTCCTGCCAAAATGGAACTGTAGAGGAGAGTCTTCTGAACAAGCCAGTACCTGCCGCATGCCAGTACTGCCATTGGTTGAGGAGTTACGAAGATAGAGGCATTACTTTTTCTGCTAAGGCTTCCTGCCAAAATGGAACTATAGAGGAGAGTCTACTGAACAAGCCAGTACCTGCCACATACCAGTACTGCCATCGGTTGAGGGGTTACGAAGGTGGAGGCATTACTTTTCATTCAACCCTCGTACTAAGATTTGTTGATATTTTAAAATACATTTTCTTGAAAAAATATGTATGAATGAGTACATTTTGTATTAGACTTTGCATTCGTGTATGCTTTCCGGAGTGGCTTTTTAACTCCTACTCAGCCAATGAATAGAGAAGAGCATCATTCCTGGAACCACAATAGCTGGAAGTTACGTAACTTAAGTACTGGAGACGCTCCTCTTTTATGAGGATCCGAGTCCTTGGGAAATGCAGAATGTGCGCCCTTGTCTCCCCCATGGAAACTGGAGCCTCGTAAGAGACCTACACTTTGCCACTTACTTGAAGGCTTTGTAAATGGGTCTAAACCAGCAGACATAGGAGCAGGGAGTAAAGAGAATAAGCCAGAGAATGGCCAGCCCAAAGTTAACCGCTCCGCCGCCTCCGATCATCCAGGCGAGGCAGCCGATCAGGTTCACGGCCAAAGTGATGCTATTCACTGCAAACACATTGATAGAAAGAGACAAAGAAGGAGAAGAAGAGAAAGAGAGAATGGAAAGAGAGGAAGAAGGGAAGGAGAAGAAGAAAGGTTGCTGATCACTCAGTCAGAGAGAGGCAAGCTAAGGTGGCAGCAAAAAGATTTCAGTGAAAGCTCTGAGAGTTTTAAAAAGAGGGACACAGGATATTAATAATAATAATAATAATAATAATAATAATAATAATAATAATGTAATTGTATGAATCACTGGGTCAGGCTTTAGCACAGCTGCAGAATATCTTGCCAATCAAAAGGCTGACAGTTCAAAGCCCGGGTCAGGGTGAGCTCCTGGCCTTTAGAACAGCTTTTATTTATTTATTGACAGTATTTATATTACACCCTTCTCACCCCCCAAGGGACTCATGGCGGATCAAAATGCACATATACATGGCAAACATTCAATGCCGTTAGACATATATAGGCAGACACAGAGGCAATTTAACATTCCAGCTTTCCGGCTTCATGAGGGTATGCTCAATTCCGGCCACAGGGGGAGCTGCTGCTTCACTATCCACTTGTGACACCGAGTCCTTGATGGAGTACTTCCTCATTCTTCTGCATGCTGCTGGAAGGTTTTTATGGTGTCGTAAATTAATTACCGTATATACTCGAGTATAAGCCGACCCGAATATAAGCCGAGGCATCTAATTTTACCATAAAAAAACTGGGAAAATGGATTGACTTGAATATAAGCCGAGGGTGGGAAATGCAGGAACTACTGGTAAATTTCAAAATAAAAATAAATACCAATAAAATTATATTAATTTAGGCATCAGTAGGTGATATGTTTTTGAATATTTACATAAAACTGTAATTCAAGATAAGACTGTCCAACTCTGATTAAGCCATTATTCTAACCTTCTTCGATGTAAATATGCTTACGTGTCCAATAATAATAGAGTAAAATAATAATAATAATAATAATAATAATAATAGAGTAAAATAATGGAATGTAAAACAGTAATAATTGAGTAAAATAATAAATGTAATAATAAAAATACAGTAAAATAATAAATGTAACAATAACAATAATAGAGTAAAATAATAAATGTAATAATAACAACAATAATAAAATAATAAATTTAATAATAATAATAATAATAATAATAATAATAATAATAACAACAACAACAATAGCAAAGTAGAATAATAAATAAAATTGACTCGAGTATTAGCCGGGGGAGACTTTTTCAGCCTAAAAAAAGGACTGAAAAACTAGGCTTATACTCGAGTATATACAGTAAATAAGCCTCCCCACATAAAGCAGTATCTAAATTTCCTACTTGACAGATGCAACTGTCTTTCGGGCTGCATAGGAGGCCCTCCTTTCGCTCTTGCCAGTTTGTCAAGCTCACCTTGTGAGTACATGGGAGAGAGCCTTCTCCTCTGTGGCCCCCTCAGCAATATGTCCTCATAATGTAGTTTAATACTGACTTAGGATGGACTACGTCCCCTCGTTTCTCTCTGAAAAATCCTATCCCAGTCATATTTTACCTTGTTCACCTCAGCATATTTTCAATTTTAATCTATTACATTTGGCCCGGCCATTTTAAAAACTGTTTATATGTCACTATCGATTATTGTTTTTTGTTTATGTGATTTGTATGATTTGTATTTTATTGACTGTTTTATTAATGTTGTGTTATTGATGTTTTGTTTGATGTACTTTGGGCTTGGCCTCATGTAAGCTGCATCGAGTCCCTTGGGGAGATTAGCAGGGTACAAATAAAGATTATTATTATTATTATTATTATTATTATTATTATTATTATTATGGAGGCGGGGTATAAATAAATAAATAAAGTTTATTATAGGTCCACAGCAAGCTAGACTATTAATGGTCGGGAGCTTGATGGTATCCTCAATGTGTACATAGTTTTCTTGCTGCTATCATTATTTCTGCTCTCTTTTAGAAACTAAGGATTTTCTACTACAACTTTTGCTCGGTGTAAAAAAGGTAAAGGTTTTCCCCTGACATTAAGTCTAGTCATGTCCGAATCTGGGACTCTGGTGCTCATCCCCATTTCTAAGCCAAAGAGCTGGCATTGTCCGTAGACACCTCCAAGGTCATGTGGCTGACATGACTATATGGAGTGCTGTTACCTTCCCACCGGAGCAGTACCTATTGATCTACTCTCATTTGCATGTTTTTGAACTGCTAGCTTGGCACAAGCTGGGGCTAACAACAGGAGCTCATGCCGTTTTCCGGATTCGAACTGCCGACCTTTCAGTCAGCAAGTTCAGCAGCTCAGCGCTTTAACCCACTGCGCCACCGGGGTCCTTGTTCAGTGTAGCAGACCGAATAGGATGCTCTACTTTTTCCACTAGCCCGGCCCTTTCAATCAATAGCAAATGGAAACAAAGCCCAGGCAGATCCCTTGCTTTTTTTTCCAGCACATGCTTCTCTTGCCCCTCGATGCCCTTTCCATGTATTAACCACACATGCAACTCACACATCCAGAGGTAGTAAAGGCGTTTGACGGTGGTTCGGTGGAGCGGTGGGATCTCTTCATCGAAATCTTGGTAGAAACAAGGCTTCAGGGGGATGAATCGAGGGAGAGGGGGGAAGTTGTTCTCTGTTTGGACACAAGCAGAGGGTTGTATTATTATTGACTTCCCCACTCACAAACAGAACTTGTTTTATGTATTGTCGAAGGCTTTCATGGCCAAAATCACTGGGTTGTTGTAGGTTTTTTTCGGGCTATATGGCCATGGTCTAGAGGCACTCTCTCCTGACATTTCGCCTGCATTTATGGCAAGCATCCTCAGAGGTAGTGAGGTCTGTTGGAACTAGGAAAATGGGTTTATATATCTGTGGAATGACCAGGGTGGGACAAAAAACTCTTGTCTGTTGGAACTAGGTGTGAATGCTTCAACTGACCACCTTGATTAGCATTTGATGGCCTGGCAGTTGTTTGGTGTGGCTTGTTAGTGCCTCGGGCAATCTTTTGTTGAGTGGTGATTAGATGTCCCTGATTGTTTCCTCTCTGTTGTTTTGCTGTTGTAATTTTTAGAGTTTTTTAATACTGGTAGCCAGATTGTGTTCATTTTCATGGTTTCCTCCTTTCGGTTGAAATTGTCCACCTGCTTCTTGTGGATTTCAATGGCTTCTCTGTGTAGCCTGGCATGGTGGTTGTGAGAGTGGTCCAGCATTTCTGTGTTCTCCAATCATATACTGTGTCCAGGTTGGTTCATCAGGTGCTCTGCTATGGCTGACTTCTCTGGTTGAATTAGCCTGCAGTGCCTTTCGTGTTCCTTGATTTGTTTGTTGGGCAATGCTGCTGCATTTGGTGGTCCCTATGTAGACTTCTTGTCCACAGCTGCATGGTATACGGTAGACTCCTGCAGAGGTGAGAGGATACCTCTTGTCCTTTCCTGAATTTAGCATTTGTTGGATTTTCTTGGTGGGTCTGTAGATAGTTTGTAGGTTGTGTTTCCTCACAAATGCTGGACCACTCTCACAACCACCATGTCAGGCTACACAGAGAAGCCATTGAAATCCACAAGAAGCATGTGGACAATTTCAAAAGAAAGGAAGAAACCATGAAAATGAACAAAATCTGGCTACCAGTATTAAAAAAAACTCTAAAATTACAACAGCAAAACAACATAGAGGAAACAAACAAGGACATCTAATCGCTCTCAACAAAAGATTGCCCCAGGCACTAACAAGCCACACCAAACAACAGCCAGGCCATCAAATGCTAATCAAGGTGGTCAGTTGAAACATTCACGTCTAGCTCCAACAGACAAGAGTTCTTTGTCTCACCCTGGTCATTCCACAGCTATATCAACCCACTTCCCTAGTTCCAACAGACCTCACTACCTCTGAGGATGCTTGCCATAGATGCAGGTGAAATGTCAGGAGAGAATGCTTCTAGACCATGGCCATATAGCCCAAAAAAACCAACAACAACCCAGAACTTGTTTTCTTTTTATTTTCACTTTGCAAGTTTGGTTATTTGCAGATTTGACTAATATGGTCTCCCTAACCTATACACACATAATAAAAGTGAAAATGTGTATGTGTGTATGGTTGGGATGTCCACTTACAACAGACAGTCTCTAGCTCCCACTACTCAGGAGACACCAATGGCCCTTCCTCCAATGACATTGCAGGTTGTAGTGAGCCCTGTAAACATGTCCAAGAGCCAATGTTCTCCACAGAGACAATGTTGCCCACCACCCAAGTGAAGGCTTTCATATGGGTACAATTTCCTCCTAGATTTTATGTGTTTTTATGTGTTTCCTCCACCACAGACACCCCAGTGGTGTGGAATTTGCATGAGCCCACCCACTGCCTCTCCCTTCACCCTTTCCTATTCTTTTCTATGGCACACAGCAAAAAGAGGAATTGATTAGCAACTGAACATACCAGAGAGGTTTGGGGAGAATTCCCCATGATTTATAGGAGTTGCAGGTACTGAGATTTATAGTTCACCTGAAATCTAAAAACTGCACTCTAAACTCAACCAATGATGGACCTGGAACTAATTTGGCATACAGAACCCCCATGACCAACAAAAAACCCTGGAGGTCTTTGGAAGGATTTATAGGAGTTGTAGTTCACCTACATCCAGAGTACACAATGAACCCAAGCAACAATGAATCTGGACCAAACTTGGCATGCATACCTGATATGCCCAAATTTGAATACTGGTGGGTTTGGGGGGGGGGGGGGGGAGTTGGCCTGAACATTTTGGAGTTGTAGGTACTGGGATTTATAGTTCACCTGCAATCTAAGATGGAATTGGACCAAACTTGGTACACAAAGCCCCCATGACCAGCAAAAAATACTGAAGGTCTTTGGGGAAAATTCACCTTGATGTAGGAGAGTTGTATTTCACCTAAGTCCAGAGAGCTAGTAATCTCTAAGTCAGAGGTTCTCAACTTGTGGGTCCCCAGATATAATATTACTAATAATATTACAATATAATGGTATAGTACAATATAGTAATACATAATACTGATATTGTACTATGCATTTATATGAGCCATTCTGAGTCCCTTCGGGTGAGAAGGGCAGCATATAAATGTCGTAAATCTATATAAATAAAAATGTAATGTTCGTTTGTGGGATTAACAGAACTCAAAAACCCCTGGACGAATTGACACCAAATTTGGACACAAGGCACCTACCAACCCAATGTATATCCTTCACTCAAAAAAATTGATTTTGTCATTTGGGAGTTGTAGTTGCTGGGATTTATAGTTCACCTACAATCAAAGAGCATTCTGAACCCCACCAACGATGGAATTGAACCAAACTTGGCACACAGTTCTCCCATGACCAACAGAAAATACTGGAAGGGTTTGGTGGGCAGTGTTCTTTAGTTTTGGAGTTGTAGTTCACCTACATCCAGAGAGCACTGTGGACTCAAACAAGGATGGATCTGGACCAAACTTTACACGAATACTTATTATGTCCAAATGTGAACACTGGTGGAGTTTGGGGGAAATAGAATCTTGACATCTGGGAGTTATAGTTACTGGGATTTGTAGTTCACCTACAATCACAGAGCATTCTGAACACCACCAACGATGGAATTGGGCCAAACCTCCCACACACAGCCCCCATGACCACCAGAGTGGGCCACAGCAACGCATGGCAGGGGGCAGCTAGTAAATCAATAATAATTAATGTTACTATCTTACCTCCCATGGTGTCTTTTGGCCCTGCTTCACAACTTTGGAGAATAACCCGTCACACCACCGTAAGAGCTGGAAAAATATATATCAGAAAATGCATTAAGTGGATAATGTCATTATAGGGTTCGGGCACTAGAGGTCACTGCAGTGCGTCCTATTTCAGGCTGGATCTACACTGTCATATAATGCACTTCGACCTGCGTTATATGGTCAGTGTAGACCCATATAATGCAGTTCAAACTGCACTGAACTGCATTATAATTGAATGGCATTATATGGCAGTGTAGATCCAACCTGGGTCATATCAGGAATATGTCTCTCAAAGGTATAGTTTGGCCAAAAATCAGCACTCTTTGGCAAAGAAGACCTTGTAAAATTACAGCTCCCAGGATTCCATAGCACTGAGCCATAGCAGTTCAAGTGGTGTCAAACTGCAATTAATTCCACAGTGTAGATGCCCCCCGCAGAAACAGGAGAAAGTTGAATAATTGCAACGGAAGTGAACGCAAACATAACAATACCTTACTATGTACTAACCCGTAGGCAAAGCTTTTAGAGGCAGATTTAGCTGGCTTGTAAGGTCCTCCGGCGTCAGCTAATAAACAAACCAGCTTCAGCCTGAGAAGTAAAAGGACGTTGTCGAATGTAGGACAGATATACTTAGCCGCTGGCTCTTACTGGATCACCTACATTTGACCGATAGTGACCCTCTTTAATCCACAGGAGGAAATCTGCTGAAAGAACTGGACCAAAGATCTGATCGGTTTCCAATGGGAAGAGACTTCTACAGGCCCTGGGGGTCCGGTTTTGTTTTCCTACAAACATCCAAGCAAACATCCAAGAAGAAATCCAGTTTTCAAAGGACTTTGAGTGCATCTGCACTGTAGAATTAATCCAGTTTGACACTGCTTGAACTGCCATGGCTCAAGGCTGTGGAGTCATTGCAGTTGTAGTTGGTTGAGGCATCGTTCTTCTTTTGCAGAGAAGGCTTCAGACCTTGTGGAACGAAACCTTCCATGATTCCATAGCACTGAGTCACTGCAGTTAAAGTGATGTCAAGCTGTATTAATTCTACAATTAAAAATATAGAATCATAAAATCCTAGAGCTGGAAGAGACTTGGTGGGTCAACCAGTCCAACCCCGTTCTGCCAAGAAGCTGGAAAATTGCATTCAAAGCACCCCCGACAGATGGCCACCCAGCCTCTGTTTAAAAGCTTCCAAAGAAGGAGCCTCCACCACACTCCGAGGCAGAGAGTTCCACTGCTGAACGGCTCTCACAGTCAGGAAGTTCTTCCTCATGTTCAGGTGGAATCTCCTTTCTTGTAGTTTGAAGCCATGGCTCCATTGCATCCTAGTCTGCAGCGCAGCAGAAAGGAAGCTTGCTCCCTCCTCCCGAGGGCTTCCTATCACTATCCATTTCTAAAAGAAATCTTGGAAGAGGAAGCTGGGGAATCCAACAGCTCTCCAAAGGTGACGGAAATTCAGTGCCCATCAGCTTTTGCTGGCCAGGCACACAGTAAGCCTGATGGGAGAAGTAGTTCACCAATGTCCCAAGAACCCATTGGGGCATTGGTGAACTTTTGGGCAGATGCTGATATGAGGCTCTCCAACAAAAGCCCTACAAACACACAGCTTCATAATCAGTGGAGGTCAGCCTGGAGTATTTTTCCAAATTCTCATAGAGAGGAGAGTAATCACATGGGATAAACACAGTACTGCACACAGTATAAACACAGTGATCTCATGCTACAAACCCCAAAGAACCTATGGTATAAACACAAGTGATCCTATGATATAGACACAATGATCCCATGGCATAAACACAGTGATCCCATGGCATAAATCCAGTGGTCTTATGGTACAGATCCTGCTCTAAAGACCCCATGATATTACACAGTGATCATGTGATATAAGCACAGTAATCCTATGGAATAAACACAGTAAACCCATGATATAAACACAGTGATCCCATGGGTAAAACACATTGATCCTATGATATAAACACAGTGATCTCATGATATAAACACTGTCATCCCATCATGGTCCCATGGTATAAAAACAGTGATCCCATAATATAAACATGGTGATCCCATGATATAAACACAGTGATCCCATGGCATAAATCCAGTGGTGTTATGGTACAGGTCCTGCTCTAAAGACTCCATGGTATTAACACAGTGATCATGTGATATAAGCACAGTAATCCTATAGAATAGACATAATAATCATGGTCCCATGGTATAAAAACAGTGATCCCATGATATAAACACGGTGATCCCATGATATAAACACAGTGATCCCATGGTATAAACAGTGATCCCATGACATAAACACTGTGATCCCATGATATAAACACCGTGATCCCATGGTATAAAACAGTGATCCCATCACATAAATCCAGTGATCCCACGATATAAACCCTGCCCTAAAGACCCCATTATATATATAATTTTCACCCCAGAAACACACACACACACACACATATATATAGAGAGAGACCCTTCCACACAGCTGTATAAAAATCCACCTTGAACTGAATTTTATGACAGAGTAGATTCAGATAATCCAGTTGAAAGCAGATATTGTGGATTATCTGCCTTGATATTCTGAGTTATATGGCTGTGTGGAAGGGCCCTAAAAGAGGTCTGGCTGCATTTGGAGGCCTGCAAAGAGTCTGACTCTCTGGTGCTGAGCTTTATTATATAATATATTATAAATTATAATATTCTTTTCCAACCCAGAAATATGTATATGTATGTATGTATGTATGTATGTATGTGTGTGTGTGTATGAGAGAGCCAGAGAGAGTATATGCATTTCTGGGGTAGAAGAGAATATAATTATATAACTTATATATATATTATATAACTTATATATATGATTATATAAATATAATATATATTTATATTTATATTACATTCTTTCCCACCCCAGAGACATGTAAATGTGTGTATGTCTGTATGTATGGGAGAGCCAGAGATAGTATATGCATTTCTGGGGTAGAAGAGAGTATAATTATATATATAATGTATAATATTATATATTATTATTATATAAATATATTATATTATATTATTATATTCTTTCCCAACCCAGAGATATGTAAATGTATCTGTGTGTGTGTGAGAGAGAGAAAATATATAATAATTATATGTATTGTAATATTCTTTTCCACCCCAGAATTATATTATATTATTTCCTATCCCAGAGATGTGTGTGTGTGTGTGTGTATGAGAGAGAGAGAGATAGCCAGAGAAAATATGTAATAATTATATATATTGTAATATTCTTTTCCACCCCAGAATTATATTATATTATATTGTATTAATATTATATTATTTCCCACCCCAGAGATATGTATGTGTGTGTGTGTGTGTATGAGAGAGAGATAGCCCGAGAGAATATATAATAATTATATATATTGTAATATTCTTTTCCACCCCAGAATTATATAATATTATATTGTATTAATATTATATTATATTATATTCTTTCCCACCTCAGAGATGTGTGTGTGTGTGTGTGTATGACAGAGCCAGAGAGAATATATAATAATTTCCTTTCAGACCGCATCTTGGCCTATGAGCCCACGAGGACCTTGAGATCGTCTGGGGAGGCCCTTCTCTCGATCCCGCCTGCCTCGCAGGCACGCCTGGCGGGGACGAGAGAGAGGGCCTTCTCAGTGGTGGCCCCCCGGCTGTGGAACACTCTCCCTATAGACATCAGGCAGGCGCCCTCCCTTATGTCCTTCCGAAAAAGCCTTAAGACATGGCTGTTCGAGAGGGCATTTAATTAAGTGCTATAATAATGTGGTAAAGATGACTGGAATGGAACAAGGAATACGAGATTGGTTACGATTCTACTATGAGACGAAGCGGATTAGTTAGTGTAATTTTATAATTGTTGTATTGATGTATTGCTAATATGTTGTTTGTAATTGCCTTTTGTAAATTGCCTTTTTATGCTGTACACCGCCATGAGTCGCCCTAGAGGGCTGAGAATGGCGGTTAATAAATGCACCAAATAAATAAATAAATAAATAAATAAATAAATATTGTAATATTCTTTTCCACCCCAGAATTATATTATATTATATTATATTGTATTTATATTATATTATATTCTTTCCCACCCCAGAGATATGTATATGTGTGTGTGTATGACAGAGCCAGAGAGAATATATAATAATTATATATTATTTATATATTATTATAATATATATATATAATATTATAATATTCTTTTCCACCCCAGAATTATATTAATATTATATTATATTATTTCCCACCCCAGAGATATGTATATGTGTGTGTGTGTGTATGAGAGAGCCAGAGAAAGTATATAATAATGATATATTATATTATAACATTCTTTTCCACCCCGGAATTATATTAATATTATATTATTTCTCACCCCAGAGATATGTATATGTGTGTGTGTATGAGAGAGCCAGAGAAAGTATATAATAATGATATATTATATTATAACATTCTTTTCCACCCCAGAAATGCATAGCTGCAGATATGCAAGGATCTTTTGGAAAAGGAGGAAGGCATCATAGAAAAGGCGACAGTTTCCATTTCCCAAAGTCAACACAACAACAACAACAACAACACCCTGCCTGTCCTTTGTGCAAGGATGGAGGTGGGGAGCATGCCAGAAGGGCAAGCATTGGCCCATCCTCCCTTTCCAGCCAACCGACCTCTAGGCCTTCCCTTGCAAGGATGAGTATACAGGCAACCCCCCTCCACGCAAGATCCCTTCTTCCCACGGACACGCGTGGGAGGGGGAGATTAGGAAAGGGGTCCACCCTACAGCTCTCTTGCAAGCCTTGGAGGCTTGGAGGCCCTCCTGGCCTTGCTGGGCACTCACCCTTCGGCCCCACGGCTGCCTCCTCGCCTTCTCCCACTCGCTCTCCCACTCTCTCGCCCTCCACGGCAAGCGGCTCTCGCGAGAGATCCGGGAAAGAGAAGCAGAGAGGGGGAGCTCTCCAAGGTCCTGAAAGGCCGCTCTATGGCGCTGACCGCGGTGCTGAAGTCGCCCCTTGCTCGCTCTCCAAGGTGCTGAAACACCCTCTGCTTGCAACAGGGAGGCTCTGCAGAAGGCCTGAAGGCAGGAAGGGGACCTCTGACACACTGGAGATGGAAGGCAATTGGATCAGCACTCGCACTGCCATGACTCAATGCTGTGGAATGATGGGAGTTGTAGTTTGGCAAGGTCCTTAGCTTAGAGAATTAATGCAATTCAACTCCTCGCGGTCACTGCCATGGTTAAATGCTAAACAATCATGAGACTTGCAATGCACTTTCACTGCCATGGCTCGGTGCTTATATTATATTATTATTATTATTATTATTATTATTACTTTATTTGTACCCCGCTAGCATCTCCCAGGAGCCCCCGGTGGCGCAGTGGGTTAAAGCACTGAGCTGCTGAGCTTATTGATCGAAAGGTCGCAGGTTCGATTCCGGGGAGCGGCGTGAGCTTCCGCTGTCAGCCCTAGCTTCTGCCAATCTAGCAGTTCAAAAACATGCAAATGTGAGTAGATCAATAGGTACCGCTCCGGCGGGAAGGTAACGGCGCTCCATGCAGTCGTGCCAGCCACATGACCTTGGAGGTGTCTATGGACAACGCTGGCTCTTCGGCTTAGAAATGGAGATGAGCACCAACCCCCAGAGTCAGACATGACTGGACTTAATGTCAGGGGACTACCTTTACCTTTACCTAGCATCTCCCGAGGGATTCGATGCGGCTTACACAGGCCGAAGCCTCAAAAACACAATACAACAATACAATACCCAAGCAAATTAAAAACAGTTAAGCAGTAAAACAATAACAGTGACAATACAACAAAACACTATTAAAACTGGGCCGGCCGAAATAGGGGTACAGGGTTAGAAGTGCTGATGTGGCAGGAGGGATGTGGGATTAAATATAAGTGCAGTGTGCAGTGTGCAGTGATCTTGGTTCTACTAAGGTGCTTCTAGGATTTGGTACTGGAGGTTCCTAATCTGAAAAGGCACATTGGAACAGCCAGGTTTTCAATTCCTTCCTGAAGACTGCCAGCATAGGGGCTTGTCTAAGATCTTTCGGGAGGGCGTTCCAGAGTCGGGGGGCCACCACAGAGAAGGCCCTGTCTCGTGTCCCCACCAAGCTCGCTTGCGACGCGGGCGGGATCACGAGCAGGGCCTCTCCAGATGACCGTAGTGAGCGTGTGGGTTCGTAGACAGCAATACGGTCACGCAGGTAGGGTGGTCCCAAACCATTCAGGGCTTTTTAGGTGAGCATATTATATTATATTATATTATATTATACTATATTATATTATATTACAGGGGTCCTCAAACTTTTTAAACAGAGGGCCAGTCACAGTTCCTCAAACTGTTGGAGGGCCGGATTATATTTGTAGTGCAAAAAACACTTTAGAACAGTGCTTCTCAACCTTCCTAATGCCGCGACCCCTTAATACAGTTCCTCATGTTGTGGTGACCCCCAACAATAACATTCTTTTGCTACTTCATAACTGTAATTTTGCTCCTGTTATGAAACATAATTTGGGAGTTGCAGTTGTTGGGATTTATGGTTCACCTACAATCAAAGTATTCTGAACTCCACCAACAATGGAATAGAACCAAACTTGGGACAGAATTCCCATGACCAACAGAAAACACTGGAAGGGTTTGGTGGGCATTGACCTTGAGTTTGGGAGTTGTAGTTCACCTGCATCCAGAGACCACTATGAACTCAAACAATGATGGATCTGGACCAAACTTGGCACGAATACTCAGTATGCTAAATGTGAACACTGGTGGAGTTTGGGGAAAATAGGCCTTGACATTTGGGAGTTGTAGTTTCTGGGATTTATAGTAAATCTACAATCAAAAAGCATTCTGAACCCCACCAATGATAGAAATGGGCCAAACTTCCCACACAGAACTCCCATGACCAACAGAAAATACTGTGTTTTCTGATGGTCTTTGGTGACCCCTCTGGCACCCTCTGCTGACCCCTCTAGGGGTCCCGACCCCCAGGTAGAGAAACACTGCTTTAGAACAATACTATAATTAAAATGAAGAACAGTTTTAACAAATATAAATTTATTAGTATTTTAATGGGAAGTGTGGGCCTGCTTTTGGCTGATGAAATAGGATTGTTGTTGTTGTTGTGTGCTTTCAAGTTGTTTCAGCTTAGGTTGACCCTGAGCGAGGGCCGGGTAAATGACCTTGGAGGGCCGTATCCGGCCCCCGGGCCTTAGTTTGAGGACCCCTGTTATTATATTATATTATATTCTTTCCCACTGCAGATATATGTGTGTGTGTATGAGAGAGCCAGAAAGAACATGTGCATTTCTGAGGTAGAAGATAATATAATTATATATATTATATATTTTGTTGTTCATTCATTCAGTCGTCTCCGACTCTTCGTGACCTCATGGACCAGCCCACGCCAGAGATCCCTGTCAGCCGCCACCACCCCCAGCTCCTTCAAGGTCAGTCCAGTCACTTCAAGGATGCCATCCATCCATCTTGCCCTTGGTCGGCCCCTCTTCCTTTTTCCTTCCACTTTCCCCAGCATAATTGTCTTCTCTAGGCTTTCCTGTCTCCTCATGATGTGGCCAAAGTACTTCAACTTTGTCTCTAGTATCCTTCCCTCCAGTGAGCAGTCAGGCTTTATTTCCTGGAGGATGGACTGGTTGGATCTTCTCGCAGTCCAAGGCACTCTCAGCACTTTCCTCCAACACCACAGCTCAAAAGCATCCATCTTCCTTCGCTCAGCCTTCCCTAAGGTCCAGCTCTCACATCCGTAAGTTACTACAGGGAATACCATGGCTTTGACTATGCAGATCTTTGTTGCCAGTGTGATGTCTCTACTCTTTACTATTTTATCAAGATTATATATACTATTATATATATATTATATAAATATTAATATTGCATTATATTATATTATATTATATTATATTATATTATATTATATTATATTCTTTCCCACCCCAGAGATATGTATATGTGTGTGTATGAGAGAGCCAGAGAAATTATATGCATTTCTGGGTTAGAAGAGCATATAATATAATATAGGTAAAGGTAAAGGTAGTCCCCTGACATTAAGTCCAGTCATGTCTGACTCTGGGGTGTGGTGCTCATCTCCATTTCTAAGCCGAAGAGCCAGCATTGTCCGTAGACACCTCCAAGGTCATGTGGCCGGCATGACTGCATGGAGCACCGTTATATATATTATATATTATATTCTTTCCCGCCCCAGAGATATGTATATGTATTTATTTATTTTATTTACTGTGTCAGGAGCAACCAGACAGTTGTATTACATTTTTAACAAAACAAACAGACAAACAAACAAAACATACATGTATGTGTGTGTGAGAAAGAGAGAGAGCCAGAGAGAATATATATGGGAGTTGTAGTTTGGCAAAGTTCTTAGCTTGGAGAATTAATACAGTTGGGCTCCTCACTTTCACTGCCATGGTCTAATGTTATGGAATGATGGGAGTTGTAGTTTGGCAAGATCCTTAGCATAGAGGTTTAATGCGGTTTGACCTCCCTAATTTTCACTGCCACGGCTGTGCTATGGAATGATGGGAGTTGTAGTTAGACAAGGTCCTTAGCTTGGAGAATTAATACAGTTAGACTCCTCATGTTCACTGCCATGGTTCAGTGTTATTGAATGATAGGAGTTGTAGTTTGGTAAGGTCCTTAACTTAGAGAATTAATACAGTTGGACCCCTCACTTTCACTACCATCATTCAATGTTATGGATTGATGGGAGTTGTAGTTAGGCAAGGTCCTTACTTTGTTGAATGAATGCAGTTTGTCCTCTCTAAATTTCACTGCCCTGCTATCGAATGATGGGAGTTGTAGTTTGGCAAGGTCCGTAGCTTGGAGAATGAATGCTAGGTTGCCCTCCTTAACTTTCACTGCCATGGCTCGGTGCTATGGAATGATGGGGGTTGTAGTTTGGCAAAGTCCTCAACCTATAGAATTTATTCACTTTGACCCCCACTTTTGCTGACATTCAATGCTATGGAATGAGGGGAGTTTGTACGACAGCCTCCTTAGCTTTCTCTGTCAAAGAGTGAAGGTGCATCACCATACTACAGTTCCCAACATCCCACAGCATTGATCCATAGTAGTTAGGTTTTTTTTGGGGGGGGGGTAAACTGCATTAATTTTACAGTGTAGATGCACCCCATAAATGCCTCTTATTCAGAATGCAAAGCTTTGGAAGATCTATGATTAACACTATCATTATAATCATAATTGTAATTATATTTATATATGTTAATGCTGACGACGATGATTATCCTCAATGTTATTATTATGACCTAGGGGACCTTTTCATCAGTTGGCTCTAAACTGTGCAACAACCTGGTGTAAAAGATTCAATAGTGAATCTAAAACAAATGTAAGGGTTGCTTCTAAATCAACAAGGATGAATCGGAGATTGATGCACAGATAAAGGAAGAAGAAGGTGACATTTATATTCATCACCTGCGGTTGCAAGCTCATCAAGGGCTCTTGTGTAGAAAAATAGGAACTAATTGGGGCTCGTTCAAATTCCTCGTCGAAATTACCTCTTTTGTGTCTGCTGAGATCACTGCAAGGCACCTTCTTTTAAAAAATTGCACATCCGCAGGACATTTTGTACTTCTGAAATCGTACATCCTTCAGAATGTGAATGGCTTAAAATGCATCATATTAAAAATACACAACAACATTCTAGGTTATGGAAAAAATTGTGGGAAAATGCAGGGAGTTGTAGTTTTGCAAGGACTTTAGCATTTTCTGCCAAAGAAAGATGGAGCCTAATTGAATGATATCTCCAAGAATCCCATAGTATTGAGCTATTGTAGTTAAAGTGAAGTCAAACTGAATTAATTCTAGAGTGTAGTTCCGGTATGGGTAAACCCAGGCCCGGGAGCCGGATGTGGCCCCCTGGGATCTTTCCTCAGGCCCTCCTCTCTCTCTCCATCCTACCCTTCCTTCTGTCTTTCCTTCCTCCCTCCCTCCCTCCCTCCCTCCCTCCCTTCCTCCCTCCCTCCCTCCCTTCCTTCCTTCCTTCCTTCCTTCCTTCCTTCTCCAACCCTCCTTTATTCATTTCTACCCTTTAATCTTTCCTTCCCTCCTTCCTCCCTG